CAGCCCGAGGCTTTCTGTGGTTGCGCTGATGCATTCAGCAGTGAACTGGGTATCAGAGACGCTGTGGATGGTAATACGCACTCTCAGAAGAGAACTGGCTCTAATTCCGTAAATATGCATTGTATGCGCGCCCGCCTGAAGGCCTATCGATGAATGGTTACCACTACCAGTGTGTGTGCGTATACGATCCTTGCCCGTATGAAACCGGTGACCTGTTGCACTGTTTACCTATTATTGTGATTACATTTGAATAGAACTGCGATGCACTACCGTATACAGCATAGTATTAGTAAGCTGTGGCAGGCACGTATCAAAGTGTTCTACGAAGTCTATCTGAACAGCCTCACATGATCATCCAGACTTTCTAATGGAAATGCAAACATGTGGACTATTCAGCACTACCTGACTATACTGACTGATTGCAGTTTTGTTGTTGAAATATTCGATAAAGAACTCATTTTCCTGAACACCTGCAATTTTAGTTATTTCGGAATCTTGCCGATGGATGGTTACAGACATGTGCATGAGAAAACTACAAGCAATAGGATCATTCGTACGCGAGAAAAACGTTCTGTTATTTTCATCTTTAACTTGGCAGTGCGCTGTGTTCCTTTGTGGCTTTTTGGGGTGTTTGAAGGCCAACGCATGGAAAAAGCCTTTCTGATGTCACTGCACATGATTGAGTATTTTGCGATATGAAAGGCACTAGTTTCCCGTCTCACTCCCAGTGCTCTCGTGTGATTTCTCGCTGCCTTTTATATGCGGCGCCGCATGGCATCATGAGGGGCACCGAAAACCCGCACCTGGGCGGGTGCGTCTATTTAGATCGTATAGGCCTATAGGCGAATTCAGACTTGACGGACAATTTCGCGAGTGGTTAATTTCGCGGTCGGTGAATTATGAATTATTTGGTATTATTCGGTATGAATTATTCGCGTGTTGTTATATTCCCGGTCGGGGACGCGTTCGCGAAATCGCGAAAATTAAACCACCGCGAAATAATCGCGAAAACTGTTCTATGACGATTGATCCTTTAAATCCGACCAGGGATGTGCGATGCAAAATGTATCGATTGATTGTCTCGTTTTCTCCGTCTGTCTGACCATCTGCTGTCTCGATCTCCATTTCCTTCCTCCACCATACCGCCCCTCCCCCCCAATAAAACTACCCAACCAGAAAGAATGCGCAAATTTGTTATTTTCACACAAGTCGAGTACTTAAGTTAACATGTTAAAACTGCGCACAGAAGTCTGAATATCTCGTCTTAGCCCATGCTGTGTCTACCAGGTATGCCCAACGACAGGCAGAGTTCAGTGTAGCCGGTTGTTCTATGTACGATATTACTCTTCTTCTACTCCTCCTCTACACCTCCCCCACTCCTCCTCCTCCTCTACTCTTCTTCTACTCCCCCTGCTCTACTCTTCCTCCTCTACTCCTCTACTCCTCCTCCTGCTCTACTCCTCTTCCTCCTCTCCTCTTCCTAATAGAGCCGAGAGCTGCAGCACTCGTTGCCATGGGTTTCCTGCCAGTAGCGACATGAATTTCAGACGCATGTGTCACCACGCATTTGTGATTTACTCGCGACTTAACGGCGAGTCAATTTCACGCCCCAGTTCAAACACGAGAGAGATTTCACAAAGCTAGGCAATTTCTCCCAATGGCATTATAATAGTGGTATTTGACTGAATTGCTTATTCAGGCGAATTGGTCAATGAAGCATTGCGAATACAGTTGCATAGAATCCTATCCTGTCAAGCACGACATAATAAAGATAAATGTAACAGCGCACCACTAGGAGAGTCGTGCTGCAATTTTAAAGTGCACTACCCTCCAGTAATTGCACGTAAATTGCAACTTCTCCGGTTTCAACATGCCCACACAAACACCGCAGGTTCACGGGGTTACCGTTGCACGCGGATGTACTCTGCTTGCTAAGGATACGTGGCAAGGTGTTGAGTCATGTATAGGCAAGAAAAGGCAGAGTTATTATTCCGCAGTGCAAACGCTGGACAAAAAGTTCGGCGACATGAGTGCAGACTGCATTACGGTCAGCGCTCTCTAGTCTAGCTCCCTCGCTTCTTTCTCAGGAGCAGATATTTACTCTCTCCCCGTAGAAAGCTCCCCGTATCGATCAGCGGTAGTCGATAGCAATATAGTGGTGGCTGGCTAGAAAGCACTATACACTATAGATATACTATACAAGAATTTATCTGAAGTTTAGCGATTCTATTCGTTATTGCTTTTACGAGTTCGCTATTATATATCTGTATAAATCTATATATGTGTTATTATCTACTCTTGATATCACCTAGTCACTTGATCACGTTATCATTAGCCCATCAGCTATTATCATAGGAGATGCGTGCCAACATGATTAAATTAAGCAGAGTGCTCTTCTGTTGATGAGCCAATTAATTACAACTGAAATCAAGTGTATTCGAGCTGACGTAGGAGAAAACGAAAATTCCCAACGTGAATTTCAAAAGTAGCTTTTTTGAATTTTAGAGTGCCCGCATTTCTATAGTCGCATTTACCATACGTGAAACTATTCTGTGCGTTCATAATGATAGACTTTCTTAGTATCAAGAGCTAATAAACACCTATTTATTAGCAGGTATTTATTAGCTCTTGTTAGTGTGCATAGTATGGAGGAAATAAAAACTTGTGTTTGTTCACTGATAGTAGTGTAATGTGTTTTTTTGATCGTTTGCTTTGAATTTGATCGCCAAATGAACAATGGTCATATAAGGCAGTAGCTTAAAATTTATTATTGAACATTTTCAGTTCATCATTGCGAAGTACAAGTACAACCCTGCTGTTACGCATGCGTCATATTCCATTATGAAATTATATAAAAGTTGACAAATTTGTTTTGACACATCGTCAATCGTGTGAAATCGTTTGAAATCGTGCTCGTGTGAAGCATCGATCCAAATCGGATTCTTCTATCGTGATCTATTGATTCAGTATTGCTAATGACGAAGCATATATGCTATAATAACTGTGCTTTTATCGCCGTATGCTTGTTACAGCACTTATTTTAGTATAATATGTGCCGTGGTTTGTCAATATTATGTGAGGATGCTCAATTAGGCGGGCCATGTGTGTATTTTAGCTAACCCTGTTATTATACTGTGCGCTGTGCAAACATAGGTCTGCTGCGTCTGTAAGTACGTGCGAGTTAATTAGATATTTAGCCGTCGCAGCCCATGACACGTGAAATTACTTTTATGTACGTTATATGACGTTAACCACTACGGCATACAGTCTAACATTACCCTTCGTCGTAAGTCACCGTAACATACAATACAGTTGTTTGATTTATAATAATAACTCGCATAGAAATAGTCGTTTCAATCTACACTAGTGATGTCGTGAGACTGCCATTGAAAACGCGTCAGAGATAGTTGTCGAATTTGGCATGAGGGAAAAGCTGCAGTTTCGTTGCCGGTGTTGATGAATGCTATTACAACTAAAATACTCAAGTCCAGTGATTATTTCGATTACTTTGTGAAAGCGAAATTTTTGTCAAACTGCCGCCTCGCCTGTCGTGCAAATGACAGAATACATTGTAGAAATGCCGCCGTGCGTATATGGGCATCTTCCATTTGCTGTCTTCTTCCGTGACAGTTGGGTTATATTGAGTGAGCACGGGCTATCGTCCTGACGTTACAAAGCCATGCGCGGAGTAGTAGTGAAAATTGCTGAACTACATATCATCACTATTTCCGTAGTTGCCAGAGTTTTCTTGCGATCTTATACACTGTCTGCGCATTATGTGCTAATCCACTATTTCACGTGACTGAACAATATGTAAGAAAAATGGTACAGCACTACTCACCACCGAGGTACCTACGTTGTACTACACACTACCTAGTCAAGAGGTGAAATTTTCCCACGACCAACTTTGGTACAGATTTGCTTGGAGATTGCGAAGAGATGGGAGAGGGATACACTGTGCAATGAGTTCGATTCGTAAGTGCTATGGTAGCTAATACTAGTGCTTTCGGGCTGGTTTCGAATCATGGGGTTCGCGCATGGTAATTTGAAGCGTTGCTTTTCGAAATTCGTTGCCGACAATGCCGATGCCAGGGACCTTTATCGACATGTGAAGTGAACCTGTCTTGGTGAGTGGGGACGCAGAGAGATGCCGAGTTAAAAAAAATCCGAAGACGTGGTGCCCGGAGTGAAACAGTTAAAAACCATTTGTTTGTGTATATAGCGGCACAGTTACACGGACATGAATATTTCATGCGCTGCGTGTTTGCTGAATCACCGACGCGGACAATTGATCGTGCTGCGGTCGAGGCGAAGTTCAACGTTGTCATTTCTAAACGGGGCTTTGACTTCGAATCGGCGAAAACAGCTAGAGAGAACGAGTTGTGTTTACGATGGATTTACGATGGAACAAGTGGAAAGGCCGCGCTGACACTCTATAATTACTGCCTCGTCACATCTGCTTGCGAAACTGACCTTTTACGAGTCAATCCATCCAAGATTTGGAAAGGGCTAAAAGAGAGAGAAATTCGTGTTTCTGTGTGTATGACTCGTTTTGGGACAGTTTGAAGCATGTGTGAATACAATTTTTGCCCTTTCTATTTTTTAATAAAAAATAATACTGCTTCAACGTGAAACTTCAACGATTTTTTGTAGCATTCACCAAATATAGCCATTCTATGTCCATGCGTGTTATTTTACGGTAGAAGAAATCCCGAAAATTACATGTGAAAATGAATTAGTTGCAAATTTAATCTGACAAAGACAGGCGATTATTAAAACCGAAGTAAACGGAATATAATTGAATGTCTCCGGGGCAAAACGTCAGAACAGAGAAGTACGTAACGCTAATTGGAGAGGCATATATATGCCGAGGCTGCACGATGACCAGCTCACATGCCTTTCCTCGCCTGCTTGTGTGCTCGAGAATGTGTATTAATGCAACAGACGATTCGCTCGAAATTCCAATGAAGCAAATGTTGTGAGTCTCTCTTTCCTTGCAGGATGTAAAGATAAACTTTGCCCGGTTAACAAGAATGAGCTCGCGTACAGAGCCTGCGGCTGTAGCGAATGGAGATGTGAGAGCAATTCGCCATGAAAGCCCAACGAAGGTATGCTATTCCTCTATTAGCTTTTGGTTTGTATTACGAAACCCCAACGAAGAGCAAACTAAGCTACTGCAAGATTGTACCGTAAAGGGATTCATCCATCGTCTAGTTACGGATGTACACAGTGTTTTATAAGTGACAGTATGTTGTTAGGGTTTAGGTTTAAGTTTAAGGTATAGAGAACGACGCACCCTGGCTATAACAGAACGTTGTCTATCCTAGAATCATATAGTTTACGCTGTTCTGACTATGTTCTTGGCTACTATTCCTCGGGCCAATAGGTCATTGACATTATTCATCAAAACCTACTCGTTTGGTCGCTCAGTTCCCCCCAAAGGATTTTTTCGGGCGATGCTCCGAAGGCAGACATATAGTTGATCTGCATGCTCACGGGATTTGCTGGCAGCTACGCAATCATAGATGCTGATGTCAGGGTAATTCCATTGGCCTAGTTTTATAAAAGCCACTTGTTAACAGAGATGCGATGTGACAGCTTCTTATGTCGCCACACACATGCCGCGACGTGCGTGCAGCACTCAGGTTGCGCTGTGAAGCTGACAGGGAAGAGTCTGATTACGCGCGTGGGACACACAGTTTATCTATAACTGCAAGTAAAGTTTGGGCATGGCGGCATGGATTGTTAAGCCCGGCGCACACGTGAGTAATTTGACTCAGTCAAATGATGTATGCGTCAAAAAAAAACTCACGTGTGCGCCGAGCTTTAGGTAGATATATACGACCTGCTGTATTTTAACCACTTTAACCACGTGTCTGTGGGAATTGATAGGTGCGGAGTGGCGCACAATGGTGAGTGTGTTCTATCAGGTTCAAGTTATTTGTTCGAGTTTTTTTTTATCGCCAACGACTCGAGGGAGTCTGTGAAACCACCGCATAACACTTTATCGTTTATAGTCGCCATATATTATAGCGATGGTGTTAGTTGTAGATCTTTATTGGACAGACGCAGTGACACTTATCTATTTGATTTTTATGAGGTCAGCGTTTTGAAACCTGTGCCACATATTAAAATAAAGCCAATGCTTCAGTTGAGGTGTATATATGTCAAGAGATTATATTACTATTTATTAGCTATGCAGCAAGAGAGTTGAGAATAGTTGATTGCGATAATCGTGAACATCCATCGTGTCCTTTTTCACTATCACATCGATAAATATGCTCTAAATATCGCTATATATATATGTATATATATATATATACACACATAAAGATATATATGCGTGTGTGCATGCGCGCGTGCGCGCGCGCGTGTGTGTGTGTGTGCGTGCGTGCGTGCGTGTGTGTGTGGCTGTGTGCGTGTGTGTATGCGCGCGCGTGGCTGTGGGTGTGTGTGTATGTAGGTATGCATGTGTGCACGTTTAGTCATGGCAACGCATAGTATTGACACAACGTTAGATTAAATATCACATCAGGGTCACTGGGTGTTATAAATGTGCTCTTTAACCTGAGGTCTATAAGAAATTATTCTTGGTATCTCATTCATGCACCCAGAGTTTTTAACTTTTTTAACTTGCAATCTAAATAACATCATTCATCAGTCTATTGCGTATCTCTCTCACCTATGATAGGGTTAGCTAATATACTAGAAAATACATTGTTTTATCTGACGATCACACCTACCCGTTCTCAGCGATCTGCCGAAAACACAATAGTTTTATCCACTTGGCCTCAAATATGTCAATACCCCGATAAGTATGTCCACCCGTAGTGAGCGTGACGCACCGTTCTTCACTTGTTAAGTTAACTTTATCAAGAAAACATCTGAATACACGATGACATTCTACATGTCTGTGCGATGTTGTCAGCAGGACAAGTTGGCTGTTACGGAGACTGGAAAGGGACTGAAGGTGCACACTGATGGACCACACCTCGTCAGCTGTGGAGGCGGACGGCTGTCTACCAGTGTCACTCTACTACCACTGTCTGAAGGTATGGAAGCGCCTAGCGCAGACCTGCGATTTTTGGTTGCTCGGCGCAGCAACCTGCAACCGCAAGCGATCGGTCGATGTGTCGCCGCGTGTGCGCACACATGCGATTTCGAAGCAATTCTAGAGCAATTTCGGAGCGATTGGGAGCGACGAGTCGCTCAAAATCAAAACAGTTTGATTTCTTGCAACTCGTCGCAAGCGACCAGAATCGCTACAGGTTGCAGTTGCACACCCTGTATTCCCACAGACGTAGTGATTTCACGACAACTCGTGAGATCAATGGCGGGGTCAGCGATTGAGTGCAGCAATGAATGCGGTGCAGCATATAGACTTCGTGAGAAAAGAGTTGTTTTACTATTGTTACGTCGTCCGTGTGTAGGTAAGACGGTGATTGGAGCGGCAGACGCCAACAACAGCCCCGACATAGAAATTGAGGGAACCGGTGTGGAGATAAACCACTGCAGCATAGAGTGTACTGGTGATGTTGTTACCATCCACCCGGTGGCGCCACTGTGCTTCATAGACAGAATTTGCATATCCAAGCCAACGCAGCTGACGCAAGGTTAGTGCGCAATGTTATCACAATTAATCGCCTCAATTTTGTCTGATGATAATAAAATGACGTTCATAGTAAAGATGTTTGGATGGAATGACTGGTTGCATCACCGTTTCGTTTAGACATGCCTAAGCAAATGTTGTTTGATTTTGATCATTATATAGTATATAGTTCACATAAATTTCAGCTGAGGATAAAATGTCTATACCGTAGCTATATGGTTCATTTGCATGCACGCAAATATAGTTGTTTGCGAGACAGGCGGTAGAGATATCCGTGGATTGAGATGCATTATATCAACTACTCTTATTAACAATTAACTTATTATATCAATTGTTATTATCTACTCTTGATTATATCCATGCATTTGCATTAAGTTTGCATTGCACATTTATTGACAATATTTGAAAAAGTAAGAAGTGTAAAGCAGATTGTGCATATGTTAGCTTATGTAGATTGTAATAGTTGTGAAAACGAACATTTAAAAAATTTATCTGCTAAATAACAGCCAGGATTTTTCTATAAACCTATAAAGTTATAGTCCTTGATTACTTTTAAAAAGGGCCTACACACCTATACCTTATTCAAACGGTTACAGAACATGAAAATGAATTAGTGCATATAAGAAATTACGTGCAGTGATATTTCAAGTTTGAGTTGAGAGTGAAGTACACAATGACACACGCGCGCGTGACCAAAATAGCAATACTCTGATTAAAATGCGTCGAGCCTAGCGCACTCTATTGCGGCGGCCACACGCATGCTGTTGTAAATAGTCGGGTTCAGTTTAATTAAGATGGCCGGCATAAAAGCTCGGCCGTGCTCAAAGCCACGACGCGAAATACGTAAAGGGTGCTACTACTCATCTATTGCTTGCGGAGAGTGCCTATTTCTCATGTGCAGTACGCCAGGTTGGCCTTTATTATGCTGATTGATACGCCACTGTGCCTGCTCCGTTCACATCCCCATTCTTCATTCGCGGCCTTTCGTAATGCGCGTAATGTATGCATGCGATTTTCTCTCCGCTTCAAGTTTTGCGATCGCCACCGCGCGAGCGGCCAACTGTTTGACGACTGCCATCGCTGTGCCCTAACGCAATCCCGTCTTAATGCAAGAATCCCTTTCCATCACGTGCAGCCTGCAGCGGGCATGTGCAAATGATCGCAGAGCCTAAGACTGCGCAGTTTGCTGGTCGTATATAACATGCTATGGGCTAAAAGCTGAAGAGATTTGCAGTGTGCGTGTGTCGATACATCTACGTTGTTTTATATGCGCTTGCCTTGCCCAGGGGCGTTTTACGAGCCAGCCAGCTTTTTATTGATCAACTTCGGTTGGATATAATAAAATGCACGAAGAGTTACAATTTCCATCATCGCTGCGTGTATTCAAAACGAGAAACTGCGCGTGGCATTTGCACAACAAATTTGTTGCATATAGATGTGTTATTTAAATCTGTGATATGTCGCCCATTTCTGATTAACGAACGTTTGTTTTACAGGTTGTACAGTGTGCTTGGGCAGAAGCAATCTGTTTCGCTTTAACCATCCAAGTGAAGCTGAGAAGATAAAGAGCACGTTGCCTAACAACGCGCGCATCACGCAGCCTCCGCTAGGCTTTCTACCTGGTAAGTAGTCTCGCATGCGTCGAACCGCGACCATAATATGTTTCAGCTTGGTACAGCTATGCTGGGTAAGGAGTGTTCACCGTCCGCGTGTATCACGCACGGACTTTCCCCCGTTTCAATGTGCTTGCATAACGATGGGAGTGCAGCGTGCAGTGTTTCTCAACCTGGGACGGGGTCGTAACCTCCCTACTGGGTCGCGTGGAGGAGCTCAGGGAGGTCGCGGGATGTATGCGATAAACCAAAAACAATCCCAAGTTTCCGAGGACAGAGTTAGATTGTCTACTTTGTTAGCTGTTCACAGAAGTTCAAATTTGCATGCAAATACTGTGCAAATGGAGTGCCGGAGTGCAGATTACGCAAGTGCGGTGGGTAGGGGTGAAGGTAGCGGGTTATTGGTTTAAAAATATCAGTAAAATATATATTGAAGTGAAAATCGCTCAAACAAAACATCATTTCGCGCGCGATTTTTCCTGTGCTAGCGAAAATGTTAGCAGCCTGGTGTCATTGCCAGTGACAATGTGAGAAAGGGTTGAACTAAACACGCAGTACGTTGCCATCTCCACGGGATGCTGCGAGCATGCGCGCTGTGCAGCTTTTCACCCTGTTTGATTCTAGCTTCCGTGAATGTACCTAAATGCAACCGTTTGTTTTACCCTAACTTGCAAGCAGCATGGAAAGTTGTGATTAGACAGCGCTTTATTGTGCTGACAAAGCTGAAACCGCTGAAATATAGACTAACAAATCTCACAGGTTTGTACATCGGTGTGTTGTGCTGCTCATGTATGTCAATGTCATGTGCTATTCGATAGAGTTTCGCATAGATATTGTTTTACCTTCGGTTTTGTGTTCGGTTCGGTTCTGTTACCCGTAGATTCTACAGTAATAGTAGGAAACATTTAACACTGTTACATTTAATAATAATAATAATTATTATTATTATAATAATAATAATAATAATAATAATTTTGTCGAGGGCACGCGTTGGCCTTAGCCTATGCCATCTCAGGTTCCACGAAGATGTATTCATGGTTCCATGCTAAATACGTGCGAGGGTTGCTACTGCTCTCGCCTTCTATTGATATTTATACTCCTCGCGCCTCTGTTACATTTCAACATTGTGCAAATGCGGGTACGCGTTTCTGAAAAATTTGTAGTAAAGTTGCCTCGCTTATTTCTAGCATGCCTCAATAAGTTAACAACGGGAAGTATAAACGTTTCAACAGAAATGTTAAATATCACAAAGTTGAAATTCGTGCACGCACATATATATTTGATGGAATCTTGTGATAGATATACTACGTCATGCAATGTGCATTAAAGCTAGCTTTGCAAACATTTCTCATACGCTGGTAAAATTTCTTTATATGTTATAATTATAATAATAATAATTATTATTATTATTATTAATGGTTTATGTGTTATTATGGTTGTTATTGGTTTACGTTGTATATTGATTTTTTTGTTATCGTACTTCACTACAACTTGTGCGTGCGTGCACACTTGTATGTCCCAGTGATCATACACAGGCACAGTTGAATCTCTGGCAGTGTAAAACTCCCACGCGTTTTCTTGTCATCAACCTTTACACCTGGGCAGTGGTCGTACCACTGATGACATTCCGGTTCGATGACATAGCCCGTTGTTGACATAGTTAAAGTGATCCGGGCACTGAAAAGCTTTCAAACGGTAACCGTAGACCTTTTACGCTCACCGTCACTGCGTGGGAAGTTGTCTTTCACGTAGTCGTGCAGATCTCCACATAAGGTCACGCAGCGGGAAAATTCAATTGATTTAAAAATATCGCAATGTTGTGCATATACAGCATGCGCCAGTTGTTCCTAATGGGTACAGAGTTTCCTGTGTAGTTTAATACTTGTGTTGTCACAGTGTGTTTAATTGTTCTATATATATATATGCCGCTTGATTGTTATTCCCAGCAACGTATTTTTGTAGTTGGTCTTTATGAGTTTATGTGCGCTATATCTTTTGACTGAAATATAGTACCCAAATATAGTACCCAAATATAGTACCCAATATATATATATTATCAGGAGCGTATAATGTCATTATACGCTCCTGATATTATACATATATATAACAGAGATTTTTTATAGATTGTAAATGGTGTTGTTTATTGGTATTTATACATTCCTATCCAGCCATTACGTGTGGGAGTGTATAGGTTCGTGCCTGCAGTGCATCTGCCATATATCAAGAGCTAATAATGCCTCTTGCATATATGTATGTGATGTACGTGCGTGTGTGCGAATCGTGCATGTGTCCGTTTTTGCGAATTCGCGTACGTGTGCGTGCGTGCGTGTCAGCCCAGTTTGCATTCGCGTGAATTCACGCGTGCATGTGTGCATGCAGCGAATATGTTTCCAGTACGCGCATGGATGCGTGCGTGCGCGTTTTCATGATTTTGCTTAATATTTGCCAAATATTTATCTAGCTAACCTTTATATTCCCATATATGTTTCTCCCTTGTTATGTACATATTAGTTGAAAAGTTTGTGTTAAAGTAAGTTTAACTACAATTTTTTCGATTAATCTTTAATTCCTGTCTGGTCTTTTGAGTGGTTCGATCAGTAAACCAAAAACGAAAAACGATTTTATTATTACGTTATCTTAAATGAATATTGTGGCACAGTGTTTTCATGTGAATCGGTGTTCATGCATGAATCAAGCGTAAATTGGATTATCACTTGAAGTCGTAACTTAATCATCCTAAGCAGTTATAGCTTTTTCAATTCATATAAGATCATCGTCAACATATCAATAATTGGCATGCTTTAAATAAATAGTTTTAGAAGAAATTTAATGTCAAAATATGTATGGCAGATCATGCAAGGTGCACACGATGAATATATACTAAAAAATATATACTAAAAAAGAACACATTAGTTTAACTAACCTCTGTCGTTGTCAAAAAGTCTAGAAGATAAGGGATATTAAACAGTGATTTTAAGGCATCGTGTGTACAGTCCGTATACTATCTATTTCACAGCTGCTTCTCAGAACGATGACAATTATCTAAGGATGTTGGCAGAGAATAATATCAATACTAAAGACAGCGATGGTGGTGAACGCCAAAACTCCATCAGTGAGACAGCTGAAAAGGTATAATCCACTTCTTCTTCCTCCTCTTGTTGTTGTTGTTGTTGTTGTTGTTGTTGTTGTTGTTGTTGTTGTTGTTGTTGTTGTTGTTGTTGTTGTTGTTGTTGTTGTTGTTGTTGTTGTTGTTGTTGTTGTTGTTGTTGTGACCGCGTAGAGATGGGGCTGTAGCTGTAGAGCTGGATCGAAGTTCAGATACCTGTACTGTGTTTATGGGTACGAATGCAGGTTTCAGCCGATGGATTGGAACGTTTGACTCTATCCTAATGATTAGAATTCTCATGCAGATGCAGATCTCACAGATTGATGGGGAAGACTTCATCATGGGGGCCACACCTCGGCGCAAGTCTGCAAGCAGGAGTACAGCCTCTCCTGATAAGGTGATCGCACCCTACTGTGAGAGGATCCCCAGCAACCCGGGAGCAAACAGCCGCATAGAACCCCCTAGCCCTAACTCGCCGACTATTGCTAACGGCAAGCCAACTACTGGCACAGCTGGCTGCGGGAGGGTTTGCAACAGACCTCCACAACCCGCTACTGCAGTTATATCTAACAGGACAGTATCTCTAAAGCGCATTGCAGGTACGTGTGTACGGCGAGTGGCGATTTGAATTTCTGCTTGCCTCTAGAGCCACAAAAAACGCGTGGTTATAATCTTGTAGTTTATACAGGAATCTGCATCTGAAATGCTAGCAAAGATTCTTTGACGTAGACCACCACTTCTTTCCTATTTGAGGTTTATTATATGAAGAAAAAGAAGAAAAAAGTTATTGTTATTGTGGCTTAGCATTTTTCCTTAGTAAATAGATGCCGTGTTTCGGCACAAAATCCAATCAAGTATTACGTCGAACCTCAATTTTGCTATTATTGCATGAACATTGCATGACGTCAGATGTTTCGCATTTCCTGAGATTGGTGTAGAAACTTGCTGAATGAGCAATTTTGCGCTATCGCATCTTGTGTTCGATGCAGAGCTCAGTCAATGCAGAGAATTTACAATTCAGATTTTCTTGTCGACTGCGCATGTAAACAGCTACACTTGAAGTGTAATTTGACTGCATTCAGACATGCAACATACATGCAGCCGAAATGTTTTCCCGTGGAAGGTTTTACCAGCTGATTGAATTCTGGATGTGCTGTCGTGTAGGTGCTGCCCCCAAGCCAACAGCGGCTGCAATGCTGAACCCAGCAACGCAGAAGATACTATTGCCCAGCAGCTCATCGCCAAAACAAAGAACGTTTAAAGAACACATCGCACAAAAACCTGCTGGTATGTATACTCTCTCGCGCACCATACTATGAGAGATGATTTAAGCTATTACATGTGTACTCTAAATGTTATTGAACGTGAGTAAATTTGCAGTGCAGCGTTTGCAAAGTGCGCCGAGCTAGTCGCGATGTGAACTCTTTTAAACTCGAAATTAGAACTGCAAAGATTCCCAATCAGCGTCCACGATGCTATTATTCAATTTTGCCAGAAGGTTAATAGGCTCTCAGCAGCGCGAATTACAGCGATCATTAATGCTAACACGCGAAGCCCACACGCTTTTGTAATCAGTCGGTCGGCCGCTATCTCTCGGTGCTGCTGCAGGAAAGGGAACTCGCTTCCTAATGGACAGACTCCCCGCAGCGACTCGCGAGCTTTCATGCGCGCGCGATAGCAGGGCTTGCGATCGTTACCGTCGCGGTAAGCCTCCGCTTTCTCTCATTATATCACTATATTGAACTAATATCGGTGGTCGTCGTTGTTCTCGCGTCGCAGAGCCGGTGAAGACTGCCGAGCAGCTCGCGATGGAGATGCAGGCTGAGATACTAGGCCTCGACGAGATCCTCACCGCGTGCGTCGAGTATGAGCAGCAGGCGCAGAGGGAGAAGGAGGAGACACTGAAACGAGCCAAGCGGCAGAAGGACAACCAGACGAAACGTGAGTGGCGTCGCGTGCGTAGATTTTCGAGTAGATTCTAAAGCCTAGCGCAGACCTGCGACTTTTTTATGCAACTCGACTCGCTGTAAAAATTGCTGTGAAATCGCTACGTCTGCGGGAACGTGAAACTGTAACCCGTAGCGATTCTGGTCGCTTGCGACGAATTGCAAGAAATCAAACTGTTTTGATTTTGAGCGACTCGTCGCTCCCAATCGCTCCCAAATTGCTCTAGAATTGCTTCGAAATCGCATGTGTGCGCACACGTGGCGACACATTGACCAAAAATTGCAGTTCTGCGCTAGGCTTAAGCAACGCGTTGTCAGAAGCACATCGTAAATTGTTGTGACGTAAATTAAACCTCCCGCGTCCAAACTTCCGTGAGTGGCGAGCCGCGCAAAAAAGTTGTGATGTTTTAGACTTATGATGTCATGACTATATATGACGTTTCTAACAATGGTGCTCTGGCTAGGTCACTCAGCAAGACGGGAACAAAATTGGTTGCGCTCAGCATGCAGCATGGGTGTCATGTGGTTGGTTGCACGCGAATATTTATTGATCATTTATAATATCGTCCGCACACATTACTATCCATGCAATTGTTCCTGTTTACGTAGTATTAATTCATTTAATCACGCTTTCACAACTTGAAACAGACATGGAAAGCACCAACTTATGCCACATGCTTATCTCGTAATTAAGATTTTTAATTTTGATTTGCACTCGTACAATTTGTACATGAAGCTCAAAATAATATTCACACACAGGTAATCATGTGACTGCAGTATATTCCAAGAGCCCTTTGCCAAAAAAATGTGTAGTTATTAAATCACAAGTCTAAAAATGTCACGAGTTTCGAAGTGAATTATCGTAGAGAAGTTATGACAAT